CGACATCTCATCGTGTTTCAATATTACCAGGAATGTATCAGTATGTCACTTGTTTGTATTCTATTTGCCCGCGTTCATCTGGAAGTGGATGCTGGATACTGTCACCCTCGGGCTGTTGCCTGGATATTGTGGAAAAGCGAATGGTTTGCTCGATTCATTTCATATACGTAGCTGAAACATACATAGTATTATTTCTTTTTATAAGATAAATTATTCCTATAAAAGAAATATTTTTATTGCATTTACAACATAAAAAATTAATCTTATCTTTTAAAAAAAATTAGTTTAATTATATATATATCTATATATATATATCTTTACATATATATACATATATTTCTAATAAATTTTGGTAGTAAATGAGATTTAAAAAATAATCTTGTTATAAATAATTAGATAAATTTTTTAAATACTAAATATATTCTGTTTATGAAAATTATTGTTTAATTATAATTGTACAATATTCATAATCAATATTTATAATAAATATAAATATATATGTAAATATATGATGATTGACATATGAAAAATATGTGATTAAATTATTATTCTTGTTATTTAAAAATTAATTAAGAATTAACTGAATATATTAATTGATGTTAATCAACTGTCGAATACTCATCAATCGAAAATTCAAGCAGACGACCAGTTTTATATTAGGCGAACAGATTTTGGGGTAAGCATATAATGGCATCCCCTCCATTGTAAAACCACGTGACATGTTGTCCTTATAAGATCAGGATAGTAGTCCTTTGAACAATCAATTCTTGTCCCAAAAATTTTTTGGAAGAATTATATATGTAATAAATTATATAGATATTAGTTATTGCAAACAACATATGCATATTTGTATTATAATATATAAAATAAAAAAGTTAAGAAATGTTTACTTATAAGTACAATATTATAATTTCTCATAGTGATCTTTCTTACTTTTCCATATAATATATAGCTTCAGTGTTTATTTCTATACAAAATATATATATAACTGAAGAATTACTTGCTTAGTATGTTTTCTTAATAACTCTGTAACTTTCATATTCATAGATGCTGCATATATTATTCATTACTACCATTGTGTATAATCGACACATAATATATATATATATATATATAAAACATAAAATATAATTAATAAATTTTACTTATCTTAGAATCTTGACAAGTCATTTATTTAAACACTTATTATTTGCATTTCTACTTTTATGTTCCTCTAGATATTATTTTATCTAACACATAACTTATTTTAATAACAAATGCTTTCATATATGTATAAGTAATTTATGAATAAGAACCAACTGTTGCGCTCATCGACTGCAGCGCTTCATTGTCACGTATCGATATAATTTATAAAGTTGCTCACTAGAGAGCGTAGTATGTCAATACATTCGATATATCGAAACGTATGTATCGAATTGGTAGGAAAACTTGACAATAAACGATACATGCTTGGTATCGATACATGAGCTCTAGTCAGATGCTGGGTTCCTGGCAATTTGAGATGCAGCGTGTCTTTCGAATGGCGACGAGATTGCTTCAACGCACGATTCACGACGATTGCAAGACAATGATGGCGTTGATCGAGACACATCGTTGGAGACCAAAAAAAAAAAAAAAAACGAACAGAAGACGGAGGCGTTTTTCCTGATCTTTCGACCGACAGGCAAAAAATGCCATGCCCCCTTGGCGCGCCTCTTGGTATAATGGGATGCCATAAACGAGTGCTGGTGCATGCAGCCTCTGTTATTATTTCGCGGCAATCTCGATCGCAATAGTAGAAGGGGAAGGATAAAACAAAAAAAACGACTGTTGGTATTCATTTGATAATTGGCTGGCCAACAATGAAAATCAATGGCTGACATGAAATGCGCATGTCATTTGCTGTAGTATTTTAAAAGTTATGCTTTATCCCGGGAAAAGTGAAATTTATTTTTCTGTTATCCTGATGCTACTGTGGTTCTTGGCATTCTTTTCATTATTAGATTTTCTTTTTTCTTCCTTAGTTTTTCCTAGTTATATCAATTACAGAAAAAAACGATCATTTCAATTTAATAGGTTAAGAAACGAAGATGAAATTCTTTTTTTCATTTATATTTTTTTATGTTTTTAATACTATGTTAATAATATTAATTTATATTAATATATATACTCTATATTAATTAATGGAATATATGCTTTTAGGTGTGAATTATGAGGATGCTTTGCGAGATGGTGTATTGCTTTGTAAACTTATGAACAAATTACAGCCAGATCTCATCACCAAAATCAATACATCTGGTGGTGATTATAAGATGATGGACAATCTTAATCAGTATGTATTGCAAGAAATATAAGAATTATGAACGAATAATTGAAATATTATTGATATTGAAATTAACATTTAATTTAACATTGCAATGAAAATTGAGTATTAAAAGATTTAATTTTCTAACTAATTTACATCACTTGTGTAGTGAGCTTTCTTTGATATCATGCTTTCCTGCTGTACAGTCGAGTTTACGCGATCGACAGTGTTTTACTCTCGATTCAATCTATCGAAGTCGAGAGTATTGGTCACGTAGCTGTTCAGATCGAGAGATCAAACGATATGCGATTATTGACTTCAAATCGATGCTCTTAGCGCGAAATTTTAGTTGTCTTATTCTTTCTATGTTAGCTAATAGCCTGATAAAAAACTATTAATAAAATCTGAGGTTGGAATCATCGCAATTATTCTATAAAAAACATAAAAAAACATATCATAAAATATACAATTATTGTTTCATAAAAAGATCTATAAAATTATCGTAATAAAGAGTTCATATTTATTAAAAAAAATGTGACTAATGCAAAAATATAAAACATTTGATAAAAATGTATTTTTAATATTTCAATTTACATTATTTAATTAATTTTTTATTTATAAAAGATTTAATTATAAAATTAAAATATTATTATTAAAACTTTGATAAAAAATTTATTTGTTTTGCTTAAAAGTTAGTTTAAAAATAATTAATATTATGTTTAAATAAATATAACAAAAAGAATAAAATATATAAGATATTTTGAACAAAATTTTGTGCAAGATTTTGGTAAAATGCAATGAACGTGACATTTGTTATATCTAACTTATATATGATGATGCGTGCGCATGTCGGCAATTGGCGCGTTTCAATGTTTAAGAGCGCTTTCCTGAGTAGTGGGGCGAACGATGCGCAGCGCGGCCACTCCGCATTACTCCCTTTTTATGCGGAAAGCAGGAGTAGCTTAGAGGTTAAGAATCTTCATCATGTATGCTTCTTTTGTTTCTACATTCCTTATACTCGGAGAGTTCATTAATACTGGCCTGCCTCAAGTTTCTTATATTACATAACTCTGTCGAAGCCGACAAAATGGCAGTTCCACGTATGTAATTTATATTTATACTGTATCATTAAATTCATATTTATGATTTATAAAATGAAAATATATGATTAATAAAATAAAATAATACTAATATTAAATATTTTATTTTATATTATTAATTTTAACATTTTTATTTTTTAATTTTTAAAATTATTAATTATTATATTAATTAATTATTAATATGTATTAATATTAATATAAAATACATGAATTAATATAATTGAAGTTAAAAATATTCTTATATTATTGTATATATATTTTATATTATTAATAATATATTTATATATATTTGAATATTAAATAATTTTATTCAATGATGTTTCATGTATTTGTTTGTTTAAAATTACTATTATTATATAATAATTTTTATAAGTTTAAAGAGATTTCAATGATTATTACACACATTTGGATTAATTATCTAATTCAATTCTATCTCGCTATGTTAATTAGGTATGCCTTTTATTTGAAAAAGCAAATTTCAGTGACATTGTTATAAATTATTTTAAACATTATTATAATTTATAATTTATTTTAAATTTTATTATTTTCATTATAGATTTCAGAAAGCATGCATAAAATACGGAGTACCAGATGTAGATTTGTTCCAAGCAGTTGATTTGATAGAAAGAAAAAATATTGCGCAAGTGACCAATACTATTTTTGCTATCGGCCGCACAGTAATAATTTTTGTCGAATATATTTTCTGTATATTACAAAAAAGAAAATAATAATAATAATAACAAATCAATTTTTAGACATATAAACATCCAGAATGGCGTGGCCCATGGCTAGGACCAAAACCGGCAGAAGAAAATAAACGACATTTTACAGAAGAACAATTAAGGGCTGGTGAAGGTTATATTGGTCTTCAAGCTGGTACCAATAAAGGAGCTACTCAAGCTGGACAAAATTTTGGAGCTACAAGAAAGATCCTTCTTGGAAAATAATATTTATGCAATATTTTGAAATATTTTTGAAGTTTTTAAATAATTCAAAATTAATTTTAATCAAAATGTTGATTGATATTTAGAAAGAATATGATTAATTATATTAACAAAAATTATATTTATTAATTTCTTAATTGTTATAATAGATTATAATATAGAAGTAATAGAAGTTGAAGGTTAATCATTTATTAAGAATACTTATTTTCACAAATATGATATTTGTAAATAACAACAATTCATGGTAATATATATTCAATAAATTCTGATTATAGTTGTTCAATATTTCTCACTGCAAAATTGTTTCTATGTTAATAGAATAAAGTATATAATATATAATATAGTATGACATATCGATAAGAAATATACATTATAAGTATACATTTTTAAGATTGACATGTAAAATGAATGGCATACGTGCATACTGGCATACATAAGTATATAGGTAGAGATGCACATACATGACGATAAGTCTTGTACGTGACAGCAATGATGAGTGGACGTGACATGTACGTACACGCATTACACGCATTCCTAAAACAGTTTCTACACCGTGAGACTCCCCAATGATCAGGCAAGTATCTCAAGTTAGAATATGATCTATCTTCGTTATTTCATTCATTAAAGCTTCGTCAGTCATTAAAGAAAATTTTCTGATAAAAAACTATGAAAATTTATATTTACATATAATTTTGCTGTTTATTTAAGAATATTTAAAATTAATGTTTTTTTAAAAATATTAAATAATTATACATTTCTATTTCACAATTATTGCATATTTAACTTATAATTACGTCAATACTTGTTAATAATTATTAAATCTTATTTTCCTATAATTAAATTATAAATTTATATTACAAATTAATTATGAGATAATATTACATGAAAATATTTATTATTTCTATGCTATTTTAGTTTCCAAGAATTGATATACATTAAAGAAGGTTAATTAAATCTCGGATTGAGAAAATCTCAATCCCGAGAAATGACGTGTTTTGTTCGGTCTATCGTGGGGCAGGCCAGTTCTTGGGGTCTCCCTGTAACACAATAGTATGATTGATAAAGAAGTATAATATTAATTCTGTCTACTATTATAAGTAAGATTTCTTTACAATCTACGCTCTTAATCACAAAATACTATGCAATACACGGATTGTACGAAAAGTAAGAGTATAATTCTTCATCAGCAAGATAGTACATGATAGCTATGCTTTCTTATTTATTCTGTGTTCCTAATGAAAGGGGAGCGCTGCGGAGTGGCCGCTCCGCGCATCACTGCACCCCACTATTCTTCACGCATTCGTAAACCGCGTATATACGAATCATGTTTATTTTTCAGATTCTTTCTGCCATGATTGCAATTATTTTTGATTTTGGATTACATAATATATATTTAATGGATTATCTAGCAATAGGATTATACTTAGCTTTATGATTTTTTCTTTATTCTTTCTCTCATTGATTTTCTGTCATTTAAATAAATTGATACATATTACAACAAACTGTAATAATATAATAAATATTTATTTTTTAAATAATGATTTTATTTTGTTTATCGTAAACTTTTTTTAGATTTTTAACAATAAGCAATAAAATTAAATCAAATGTACTTATAAATTTTATTATATAAACAAATTATTATAATTAATTCTTTTTCTAGCAATTATATATATTTCTATATATTTATGATCTATATGAAAGAAAAATTCTAATTTTTAAAGAGCAAATTTATGAATTATGAAATGTACTTTTTAAATATAAATATTAAATCTAATAGCGTTTACTTTGATGAATAAAGAAGTGAAATAGACGTTTCTTATTCTATTCATAAGCACATAAGTAGAAAAATCGTAGCTTCCAACAATTTATTCATATGATTGCTCTTTCTGTTTCTAATATCCTACTCGTATGGAGTTCATTGGTACGTTTCCACAATGTCTTTATACTTAAACATTTAATGCAATCGAATCCGGATAACCTATAAAGTCATTATTTTTTTTTATATTGCTCAACCTCTTTTTATAGTATGTTCTCCGATTAAAGGGTCGATTCTAGTCGATCGACAAAAGTGTTTTGCAGTAGTAGCATTCGGACTATCTTATGCCAAATATTTTAATTCTACGGAGTGTAAAGTCCGTAAACGATGACCATACATTACTATCGAAGTATACATCTGAAGGTTAATTCATTTAATACTGCGTTAACAATCATGTTGAAAGAAATATCTTAGTCGACATACAAATTAATTAAATTCTCTTTCTAATATACTTATATATATATTCGATTTATTCGATGAAATAAATTATTTTTTGCGATAATTAATACTTTTAATTATTTATTTATCGCATAGAATCAAAATTGTATTTAAATGTAGTTAAATGATTTGCGTAGTCGTGACTTTTAGTTCTATAGTGTTAATCGCAATTATCATTTCTTTCTTATTATAATGCGTTCTATCTTAAGAGTTTCTATTTTTATATCGGTAGAGCAACTGATCTTTCTGCCATCTGTGAACTAACAAGAAAATTCTTTATGTGAATTATATTGTACGACCTCGACTCCGGATTTATGTTCTAGAAGAAATGGACAATTGTATCTATAATGTGCAATGCAAAAGGTATTTCACGTATTCAGATTTAATTAAAGAACAATTTCATAACAAGAATTCTTTGCTAATATTCGTAGAACAATGATGATCCACTATACATTTAGTTTTATGCGAGCCAATGTCACTAGCCGAATTCTTGTCTATTATTCTTTTACATTTTATTGTTTCGTTATAATTCAAAGTCAGAGATTAATTTTTTTTTATGATAATTATTTGAAATTTCATTTGGAAGTTGTATAAACTGTACAATTTTCTTAAAATTTTCATTCTTCTCTAATTTGTAATGTTTTCAAAAGTTATTAAATTAAATTTTTATATTAATAGTTAAAATATATTTAATAATAGTAACAAAAATTCATGATTTATTATTATGTTATATATTTTATTTTCAAACAGGTGAATTCATAATTCTTTTGTTCGCTGAAGCTTCCAAACTTTTATTAAGTAGAAATTAAAAATATTATTTCCACCTAGTAATTGTGCAACATGCCATCCATTTGTGGCGATACAATAGACATGACTGGTAATTTCTTGTTATACCTAATTTCAAGTCAAAAAAAGATTTGAAATTGTTAATCATTTATAATATTTTATAATAGCTGCACAACCAACAATCGCAGAAGGTATCTCTAGTACTGACAGTATTGGAACACATAGTGATATTTCTGGACATACAACCATTTCTGGAAGACCTAGAATGGATGTAGCTTGTGTTTTGGATCTACAACAACCGGAACATTTGGCTCAGAGAAGAAGAGCTTTAGAAGAAGTTAGACAAGCATGCAATCTAGTTAATGCTAATATACATCATATTCAGGTAATAAATATTTTATTATTAAAAGATATGATTTTTAAACTTAAATGTATTTGATTGTTATCTTTTTAGTTTGAAAAATTGGATTTTGGAGAAACAAATGTACTTGATACATTTTATAATGCAGATGTAGCTGTTGTAGATTTAAGTATTCAGTTGCAACAATCTGCTTTGTTTTATCATCTTGGTGTTAGAGAAAGTTTTGGTATGAAAGAAAATATTTTGTTACATAATGATATAGACACAGAAACAACAATCAGAATTAAGGTATATTTATATTATTCTATGATATATTAATATATTATATTTAGAAATTATCTTTTAAAATCTTATAAAACTTTTATAATGTTTATAGTTATCATGTGGTAACTACACATTTGTTTCCTATCGTGTGGTGGAATGTGGTTCATGTGTGGCAACAAATCCAGCTACTACTAGAATTACTGGAGAAGAAGTAATAGATCCAAAACAACATCTTACATTAAAGCTTAAAAAATTATTTCAAGATGTAGAAGTACAATCTAAGTATGTTTTGATTTTTCACAGTTTTATTATGATATGATTTTATTATAGATAAGAAATGGAAATATTGTTCTTTTATTCTAATTATGTCATGGTAAAAAAATAAATATTTTCTTATCTTATCATTTTGTACATAGAATTGAACTAAATTTATTGTTCAATATATATAATTATAGTTTGAAAATTTTATTAGAAGATATATAATGAACTTGAATTTATTGTAACAATATATCATTTATAATATTTATAATATTTATAATTATATATATATTATATAATATATATATAATTATAATATTTATAATAATTAAATAAGTTTCTGTAAAAGAATTATGAAATTTTTTATAGAGCGCATATGAAAGAAAAATTCTTAGCTGATTTACGAAAAGCGCGCGAAACATATTCGGGAGAAGAACTTTCGAAAGCATTGAACAACATGCGTAAACGTTTAGATGATCCAAACGTTTTATCTGGAGAAGTTGTTCTAAATGTTTTGATTTCCTTCCGTGAGATACAGGTAATATATTAATGATTTTTGTTAAAAAATATTTCTTCATTAATTAAATTTATGGATGCATAGGATTATGATGCAATGGTACAATTAGTTGATGATCTAAGAACAATACCAACTCATAAAAATTATATCAATACTCCGGCTATTCGAAATCTATATGCATTTGCATTAAATCGACGAAATAAAGAAGGTGATAGAGAAAGAGCATTGAAGGTTATAGAAAAAGCTTTGGAGAAGAAAGAAAATCATGTCCCTGATATGTTATGTTTATGTGGAAGAATATATAAAGATAAATTTGTAGAAAGTAGACATACTGATAAAGAAAGTTTAAAAAATGCGATTCATTGGTATAGAAAAGGTTTTGAGGTATTTTATCTTTCTTACTTTTTTTAGTACAATAAACGTATGAATTAAAATTCTTTTTAACTTTTTCAATTTATATATTTAGGTTCAACCAAATGAATATGCGGGAATTAATCTCGCTACATTACTCGTTATAGCAGGAAATGAATTTTCTAAAAGTGAGGAATTACAACATATAGGCATGATATTAAATAATCTAATTGGCAAGAAAGGTAGTTTATCAAGTTTGAAAGATTACTGGGATGTAGCAACGTTTTTTGAGATTAGTGTACTTGCCGAGGATTATTCGAAAGCTATTCAAGCTGCCGAATGCATGTTTAAATTGAAGCCACCAAATTGGTATATATTAATAATCATTGAAATATTATGTTGAAATAAAAATTATAAAATATTAAATATATAATTATAATAAATTATTTCTTAAATAGGTACCTGAAATCTACAATAGGGAACATATCGCTGATAGATAGATTTCGTAAAAAGAATGAAGAAGCTGAGGTTTCACCAGAGGAGCAAATATTTAGTTTTTGGACGGACTACTTTGCCGAAGCTACAAAAGCGGAAGTTGGAGATAGTATACGGTTTCCAGTAAGTTGATAAATGGAATCGTTCTACAAAGGATCCAGTTTCCAATTCGGGAGACTATGGCTTATAATATTGTGTTACCAATCCAGCTTACTTCTGTACATTTTGGGTCAAAGTAAGAACAATATAAAACTGCTCTTTGTGCAGGTTCTTAGACTGACTTTAATGAATCAAGATGCTATTATGATCGTTTCCATTAGAAAAAGGAATTAGTCACTAATCTTTTTATTTTAGCTCTTAGTGTTGGAGCCAACGAAGATCTTGATGCCGAGCTATGTAAACGTTAACCTTGGAGCAGAAGAAAAATCGGTGCAAATTTGGAATTTGTGCTTGGATAATATGAAGAATAATTGCAAACAAGTTCACGATTGGTTATTTACCGCAAACATGATACGTAGTGTAAGCTTATACAAAAGAGATGAACGCTGCCTTTTTCTATATGTTCATCAAAATTCTGATGATTTCCAAATGTATTTTCCGTCTGTTCAATGCAGACAAAGATTTTATGATTTAATTTTGGAAATGACCAGAGATCAAGAGGGCATGGTTACAGATTTAGATGCATATATGACTGATGATAGGATGAAGGTTTGTACATAATTTTTATATAATTTATATAATTATAATTTATATAATATTTAAATAATTTATTATTATTATTATTATTTATTTTTTCCTAGTTTGAATATGAATTGGATGACCAAAATAAACGAATAATGCTAGGTAAAGGTACATATGGAATCGTCTATGCGGCTCGAGATTTAAACACGCAAGTTAGAATTGCTGTAAAAGAAATACGTGAACGGAATTTAGGAGATGTGCAACCCTTACATGAAGAAATTAAATTACATAGTCAGTTAAGGCATAGAAATATTGTACAATATCTGGGTTCAGTAAGCGAAGAAGGATATTTCAAAATTTTCATGGAACAAGTTCCTGGAGGTAAATAAACAAAATAAAAGAGAATTGCATATTATCTATTATTTTTTTTAAATTTTTTTTAGGTAGTTTATCAGCTTTGTTAAGATCAAAATGGGGACCTTTAAAAGAAAATGAATCTACAATTGCTTATTATACTAAACAAATCTTGGAAGGTTTGAAGTATCTTCATGATCAAAAAATCGTTCATAGAGACATTAAAGGTAAAATGTATAAAATGTATAAAATGTTATTTATAAAGATCATCATTTTCATTTCAATTATCATTTTTAGGCGATAATGTTTTAGTAAATACATATAGCGGGGTAGTGAAAATTTCAGACTTTGGCATGTCAAAACGATTAGCTGGTTTATGTCCAAGTACGGAAACATTTACTGGAACATTACAATATATGGCACCGGAAGTTATCGATAAAGGACAACGTGGATATGGTGCTCCAGTAAGTTATATTATTATATAATATATATTATTTTTACTTATAAAAAAAAATTATTATTCATTATGATTTATAATAGGCTGACATTTGGTCTCTGGGTTGTACAATAGTCGAAATGGCAACTGGCAAACCACCATTTATTGAATTAGGTTCTCCTCAAGCAGCAGTGTTTAAGGTAAAATGTAGTGTAAGGTAAAATGTTAAAATTAAAATAAATAGAATTTTTAAATAGATTTAAAATTGCATTATTTTAAAATTAATAGGTTGGATATTATAAAATACATCCTGAAATTCCATCTGAATTATCCGAAAGAGCAAAAAATTTTATATTACGTTGTTTTGAACCTAATCCTGATATAAGAGCAACTGCAGCTGAATTATTAGAAGATCCATTTTTAAATGAGTATGTGATACTTATATAATTTTTACATAATTTTTATATAATTTTTATAAATAAACGAAATATTTAATGATTCTTTATATTCATAGGAAGAAGAAAACTAATCGTTTAGCAGCACCACCTGATTTTAGTAGAAGTATTTCAGTACCTGCTGACAGAGTTGAACGCTTAGGAAAATCTGACAAAACGAATAATAATCATATTGTTTCTGCTTCTCCTATTCAAACTTCACAATCCGATGATAGGTAACATTAATATATTATTTATTATAATAAAATATAAATACATACAAATCGTTTTGTTCAAGTTTTATATATGAATAGTCTTATATTTGTTGTCTTGTTGCTGATTTCACATTCTTGTTTTTACGTAAATATATTTTAGAAAAAAATGCATAGCAATTATATAGCAAATAATTTGTTTTTTTTAAATAAATCTGAATACATTGTATTCGTATTTGTACCAATGTATTTAAATGTGGTTTGAATTTTAAAATCTTTGATTTTTTATTTTTCATTTATTGTTATATCCCTTTCAATTCTTCTATTATGAAATATAATCAAAATATTACACATAGTGGAGGACTGACAAAGTCAAGCCCATTGAGGGAGCGTAGTCCAGCACACCTTCTGTCTCCTATTAGAATGCCCACTGCAACCCTTTCTTTTAACAGGTATGGTACTAATGTTATAGATGGTTACACGGCTCTTCTAAAAAATATAATATTATATAATAATTGTTGATAAGAAACATAATAAAATTTATCTTAATATAACTAAGAAATTAATCATGATTAATAATAGTTAGCTCATACATATTATTAATATATATGTTGCTTTATGTTGGTAAATATTTATGTGTTGTGGACAATGGAGCTTCCTGTTTGTAATAATAATATGTAAGATATTTTTCAATTTAGTAAGAAGAAAGATTAAAATTTTTATTTTATTTTCTTTGTATCAATATTATCCTAATATATTGATAGGATAATGATAATCATAAGACTTAATGTACTATATAATAATATAAATATAATAATGTAACAAATATAATAATAATTGATTAAAAATATGACTATTCATATGTATTTGAAACTTAAGCTTTTGAAATCCTTTTTAAAATAATAACCAAAATATACTTATAGTTTTAATAATTGTTATATGTATTCAGGTTTATTTTCAATCAAAATACATATCAGGAAATATTCTTGCCCTTGTGACACTTGCATATTGTCCCTCTTGATCAAATTATTCTATTTGAAATATTCAATTAATTGTTAAAAAATAAAATAATATATTATATAGATTGTTATGAAATAATTATCAAACTTTTTTATATTTAATAATTTTAATTATAAAAAAGATTTAAGTTTTAATTTTTTTAATTGTTTTGAATATTATAAATTAAATTAAAATATTATAAATTAAATTAAATAGATATAATAATCTTAAAATAAACTTTAAAGTATAAAAAAGTATAAATAGCATTTGAAAGTAACATCAATTTATCTTATTTTCAGTATGATAGGAAATACACCATCTATAGAGACAAGTGAAACTGACACAGCTGGAGCTTCAATGACAAGAAGAAGTTCTTCTGGTGGTTTATTGTCACCAGAAGTTGAATTAGGAGGTAATAATAATTTATAATATGTTAAAGGTCATTTAAATTTAATATGCTTCTATATTATATTCTATATTAGGACAACCTGGTCAAAAAACTGGTGAAGAACAAGAAGGTTTTTATCTATTAAAAAAAGATAGTCAAAGAAGAATGACATTAACTAGAGTTCTTACTCAAGATGAAGCAAAAATTTGTGAAGTATGGATGAGAGATATTCAAGTAGAACTATCAACAAGTCAAACTGTTTTGCAAATGGTAATTATTTTTGTGTTTCTATTAATATAAAATATATATTTCAAATAACAAAGTTTTTATACTTTTTCAGAATCATTTAATTTTATTAATGCGTGCCTTAAGAGATTATATTGCAGAACAAAATCAAGAAGTAATTGTGACAGCCATTAGAACATTAAAAGAAGAATTGGATTTCGATTCTACTGCTATTACTCATCTGAATCTAGCTATTTATTTATTTCAAACAGCAGTGAATGAAGTTTTACGAATGCATAGTATAAAACCTCATTGGATGTTTGCATTGGATAATTTAGTCAGAAATGCTGTACAAGCTGCTATCAATGTATTTTCTCCTGGTAATATAATAATTTCTTGTATAATAAGATATAATATTTTTTGAAATATTTTATTCATATATTTTTTGAATTTACCAGATATATATATATATA